GCTCCAGGAAAAGAGCTGTGAGGGACCATAACAGCTCACTCCCTTATGGTGCAATTTAGCAAGCATTGCATAATTATCTGGAGAAGGGGACAATGTGGAGCTGCTTCCTTATTAGCAGATGTTATATTGTTTTCAATAGGCAGCTAAATTAGCCATGCAGTGCACTCATCCTGCTTCCTAAAATGTTAATTTTACAAGATTAGTAACAGAAAAGTGAACAAACAGCCAACTTATGCCTAAGCAGGATCTCAAAAAGGATTTAACTCAGTCACATAAAAAAAAAAGTTGATCAAATTCAAATTTCCCAGGAGCATTCAAAGACATTTCTCCTCAAGTGGGTCTATCTGCATGTCATATTTCAGGTTCCCAATGTAGCAGTACTGTTCCATTTTAATAGTGAGAAAAGCAGTATTTTCATTTTCATTCTCAAGTATTGCTGAACTGTTTATGTTCAAAAATTCTTCACAGAATATCAATGTGGGACAGAGGCAATGCCTTGATATTTCAGCCCCCAAAGGTGGAACTTACAGAACAATGCAAGATGAAGACAGAGACTTAGCATGGAAACTATTAAATAGCTCTAACTGTAATGATTGCAGCCACCCCTTACTACAATATAAACACATTTTTCTTTGATTTATTTATAGGCAGCTGTAGGCTGTTTTATACTGGGGGGACAGTGCAAAATAGCCACAGCACTCCACCAGAGTGTTTGGGCTCTAGACTGCAGATGAATAAACATTTCCAAAATATTGTATAGAACTAAAGTACTATCAGGACAACATGCTCCTTTAAATTTTCTGTAGGAATAACATGACTCCATAAATGATCTGAAGAAGAGTGTTATGCTGAAAACGTCTCTCATATCCACAGAAACCGGCCCAATCAAAGAGGTTCGCTCTTCTTCCCCTGCCCTCACAAACCTTAGTTTGGTACCCAGGGTGTGGAACAGGCAGCAGATGGGGATGCTAGAGGCAATGACCTAAGGGCAGGCAGGTTGACCAAAAGGAATAGAGAAGAATTTGGACACTGGGGTTGTTTTTTTACGGGGGGTGGGGGCGGGGGAAGAGAGTGGCAAGGAGGCACCCATAAGGTTGGGATGTTTGGGCATCCTAAAGACAGCAAACTTTTTTACTTGAGTTACATGTCACTATGCTAATACATATCAATGGACTATGTGAGTAGATCTGAAAGTTTTGCAGGGCGCAGCATAAACTCTCTTCAGTCCTTGCACACCCTTCCCAATCCCTCTGCACCCCAGCTTCTCCCCCCCCCCCATACGCCTCCAAGGCTCCTGCTGCCCATAGCCTAAGCACAACGCCCTCAGCACCCCTCCTACACACCCATACCCCTAAGGCCTCCCTCCCTTCTCCCCTCAGCTGCTGCCCCCGCCTTACCTGCTGGGGGCGGACGCCAGGCTGCAGGGCTGTGATTGCAGCCTCGGCACGCCGCGCGCGGAGGGGAGGAGCGGCGACACGG